TACTAGTGTCGCAATACGAAATTTTATGCAACAAATGGAAATTTCTCTTCTCCCGTGGCCGGGACAGTCACATGACTTAAACCCGACGTATTCGAGCTAAAAAAAAAGAAAATCCAAAAAATTTGAAAGAATTGGAATTGTTTTTACAGGAGTGTTGGGTATAAATGGAAAATGACATTTATCAAAACTTAGTTAACGGTATGGTAAAGTTCTTACAAATGTAAGTATAGAAATTTAATATTTAAAGTTTGAATTTTTATTTTATTTTATTGTATATAATGTAAATTTTTAATAAAAAATTTTATACTATTGTTATATAAAAGTTTTTTTTTTAATAAATTTAAAACGTATCAATTAAATTTTATTAAAAATCGTTAAAAAAAAGAGCCATATATTAAACTATTCAGAAAGTTTATTGAATATATTTTTTAAAAAATAAAGTTGTTGAAGCATGTGCGAACGAGATTATTAAATAATAGATTGCAATAAAATAATCGGTTACCGAAATAATCACAATTTTTAGCAATTTATCGGTGATTATAAACTTTTGAGTGGGGAGTGAATCAAAAAAAAAAATTCCCAATAAAAATATATCATACTCATCTTATCGAAAATACTAATCAAAAATTTATAAATAAATAATTTAGTATTATTTTTTTTTGCAGAAATAAATCTGTCATTATTCTTTTCTTCATCTTCCTCGCTATTACAATAATTCACTTTAAGACCAATCATTTGAAATTTAGCAAAAGAACTTCAATTCTCTTGTGATAAACTTTTTAACATTTTTAATATCTTTCGTGTTTTTTTTTTTATTTATAAAGTTTTTTACTTTATTTTATTTGTGGGTAATTAAAGATTAAACCGCTGTCAAATGTTCAGAAAAAAATAAAAAAAAATTTTAAAATGAGATTATAATAAGGTAATATAGCAAATAAGTATAGTACGATTGGCAATTTAGTATGTAGTAGAAATCACTTGAACGATTATCAAATAGTACTGTACGACTATCATCGTTCTATACAAGGAACTATAAGAATATTGTATCAAAAAAAAAAAAACCCCCAAACATAACCAACCTTTACTCCAACCTTAAAGTTTATGATTATGGATGTTAGGGTTATTATAAACGCATCATTAATAAAATAGTATAATTAAGATAATTCCAATCGTACTATATTAAAATTTATAGTCGTACTGATTTCTTGAAACCAATAATAGGAATATGTATACAATTTTAAAAAGTGTAGCAGTGGTACATATTTATTTTGATCATCAGAACGCAGTTGCCAAGAATTTTTACGTGACAACTATCGCAGTTTAGTAAATAATGACCTTCGTATGACAAATACATCATCTTTTTCTAACTCAATAATTTGTCAAAAAAAAACAAAAATAAATGGATTTAAAAATTTTTGACAAGTTATCTCAAAACTTTATTGAACTTCTTAATGATAAAGATGATTACAATGTAATCATTGAAGTCAAAAATGAAGAAAAATCTTTCACGGCACATTCAAATATATTAAAATATCGATCATCATATTTTCGTAAGGAATTAGAAAACGTTCAATCAAATGAGAATAATATTAAGACTATCATTATTAATTCAAATATTTCTGTTCAAATTTTCGATGTCATTCTTAAGTAAGTAATTGTCAATAATAAAAATATATGTATGAACTTTTTTATCGTTTATAAATTTATTTATTATTTATTATTTTATTATATGTAGGTATATATATGGAGGAATTGTCAATCTAAAAAACGTTGAATCTTTGTTGATTTTTAAATTAATGCTGGTTGCTGATGAATTAGAACTTGAAGAATTAGTCAACAAAATAGAAACTTTTTTAATTGAAACTAAAGCTTCATGGTTGAAATCACATATTTCTATGGTTTACGATACTATTTTTGACAGTAAAAAATTTAATGATTTACTGAATTTTTGTTGCAATGATATTATTGCAAACCATCCAAGTCTAATTTTTGAACGTTCAGATTTTAATTCTCTTTCTGAATCTAAACTAGTGTCTTTTCTTAAGATAGATAATTTACAAATGAAAGAAGTTGAAATTTGGGATTATGTCATCAAGTGGGGAATTTCTCAGAATCAATTTCTTCCTATAAATCTTGGAGAATGGTCCAAGGAAAATATTATTACATTAAAAACTACATTAAAACAATGTCTACCGCATATTCGTTACTTTCATCTTTCAGCGGATGAAATCAGGGATTCAATTAGACCTTACAAAAATATTCTTGATAAACAATTATGGAAAGATATTAAGTATCATTTGGTATTTCCTAGACGAAAAGTAAAATCAAATATTTTACCTGTAAGATATTTTTAACTATTATTTCTGGAGATCATGCAGCAGAAATTTCAACTTGGATTGATCGTAATACAACTACATATACTTCAACAAATAACCCGTATAGATTTGAATTAATCTTACGAGGATCTAAAGATGGTTTTGCTCCACAAACATTTTGGGATGTTTGTCATGACCACGCTGGTACAATTTTAATAGTAAAAGTTAAAGAAACTGATGAAATACTTGGAGGTTATAATCCTTTAGCATGGGATAATAGTAATATAAAAAATGAATGGATGGAAACAAAAGATAGTTTCATTTTCTCATTAAAAAATGGTAATATTCAAAATTCTATTCTTAGTAGAGTAAAAGATATCCCATATGCAATTCTTAATATTCGTAAAAAGGATCAAAATAAATATGGTCCATATTTTGGATATGATTTTTATATTCAAAGTTTAAATTCTAATGATTTTACTTTAGATAATGATTGTTACTGTAGAAGTGATGGTTGCTATTATGAAAAACCTATAAGAACAACGCCATCAGATTTCTTTACTATTGTCGACTATGAAGTATTTAAAATTGTTAGAAAATCTTAATAAATGAGAAAATATATACATATGTACATATTTTATTATTATATGTATTAGCTATACCATAATTTATAAACAATTAAAGTGAGGAGGTTTGTCGTGGTTTATTTATTTATAACGTGACATAGATTGTTGAAAAACGGTTGGATTATTTTTTTTATTTTTGTTCAAAGGATTTTTCATGAAAGGGTGTATATTACGTGACTGTCGTAAGTTTTTGTATTTTTTTAGCATTTTTTAATATTATCTTTTGCGTTTTATTTATTGTATTCATATTTTTATTTTTGGGATAATAAATTGATTCTCTTACTTTATAATATAGTAATAATAATGATAAATAATAATAATAGATACCGATACTCTTCTCTAAACTCGCAAAGACCAAGCTACTACTAAATGTCCACATTCGCTTAGAAAAAATTAAATAAAAATTTTAAAAATAATACAATTTATTGATTATATAAAAGTTTCATATCTTTTTAACAATGACATATTTATTTTGATCACAACGTTCATATAACATTATATAACATTCAAAAAATTATACCCGCAACAAATTTTTATTTTATTTTATTTTTTTGTATTTTTTCAACATTCAAGGTGTATACGAAAATTATTTGGCTAAAGATCCATCACTCGAAAAGTCATTCGAAAATTATTGTCCTTCAACTTATTCGAATAAAGATCTATCACTCAAGAGTCATTCAAAATTACTGTCCCCAACTTATTTGATTAAAAAGTCTACCAGTCACAAACAATGGCAGGAATCCAGCTAAGCAAGTTTCCACTTTTCAAAACTTCATCTTTTTTTTTCACTCGTGAAAATTTGCAAAAACAAAAAATTGCTTTAAAAATTTTTAACACTTTATCTCAAAACATTATTGAACTTCTTATGACAAATGATTTCAATGTAATCATTGGATCAAAAATCAGGAAAATATTTCACGACACATTCAATCGTATTATCATATTGCCGTAAAAAATTAAAAACATTCAATCTAATGAAATTAAGATCAAGACCATTATTATTAAGTCAAGCATTTCTGCTCAAATTTTCGTTAAGTTATAAAAATATCTGTATTGGAATTTACTTTATTTACAGTAAATTTATTTTATTACTTAACTTTATGTAGACATATTTATGGAGGAATTGTTAATTAGAAAGTTATGAACCAACTTTCATTATTTTTAAATTAATGTTGGTTGCTGAGGAATTAGAACATGAATAATTAGACACCAAAAATAGAACCTTTTCAAGTTGAAGCTAAAGCTTCATGGTTGAAAACACATATTTATATGGTTTACGATTCTATTTTGACAGTAAAAAAAAATTAATAATTTGCTAAATTTTGTCGTAATGATATTATTGCAGTCTAATTTTCAAAATCTTAGATTTTAATCCTCTTCCGGAATTTAACTTGCCGTCTTTTCTCAAGATAGATTCTTTGCAAATGAAAGAAATTGAAATGTGGGGAATTTCTCAGAATCCTACTTGGCGAATGGCCCAAGGAAAAGAATTTCTGTAATAAAAACTAATGTCTTCAGTATATTCGTTACTTAAAAAATTCATATTCAGATATTCAATTAGATCATACAAAAAGATTCTCGATAAACAACTTTGGAAGATATCAATATTAATTTATCATCTTCTAAACAAGAAGTAAAATCAATTATTTTATCAGCAAGATATTTTTTTAAATATCCTTTCCGAAGATCATGCAACTTGACTTAGTAAATTGACTAAACGATTATTTTTTAATTAACTATTTTAATTTTTGGTTTTAATTTTAACTAGAAAACTAATATTAATATTTTTTAATAAATCTTAAAATATAAGCTATAAAATAATAAAATCATATAAAACTATATCTAATCAAACAAACTATATTACTTAATAAAATTCTTATCTAAAAATTACATAAATTTCATATACCGTTGATTTTAAGTGTATAATATTTTTAAATATTTTCAATATTCTTATATATAACATAAAAATAATTTAATGAAACATAACACAACATAACACATAACTTAATATGTAAATACTTAAATTAAATAGATTTTCTAATTAATATCATTTGGAATATTATTCTTCCATATCAAATTGAACTCCATATTCTTCAATAACTTTAAAATGTTCATCACTTAGTGTAAATAGTTGCGCTAGTTCTGTACGTTTTAAAATAAACTTTTTATTTCCTCCTCTTCCTTTACAACACCATCTTTCAAAAAATTTTCTTAAACTATCAGCACTAAATGATCCCATTCTAATTTCAATAGTTTCAAGTGATCCCGGTACACTTTCGGCTATTTGGCATAATGGTTTATTACCATCAAAGCCTTTCCTTCCAAAATCAAATGAAAATCTTTTTAATTCAATAAAATTATTATTAAATATTGCGATTACTTGTTCAGGTCTTAAATTTAGTAAAGTTAAATCGATAATCTTTGTACAATAATTTAAAATTGCTGATAATGTATTAAATGTAATAGTTGGATAAAATTCTAGACAAATATTTTTTAAATTTGTATTGGCCGTTTCGAGAATTTTTATAACAAATTCTTGAGGATACATATCAAATAAATTACTCGAATGAAAATAATGAAAACTATTTAATTGTGTAAACGATGAAGCCAAGGATAAACACAATCCATGACAATTTTCAATATAAAGTTTTTGAAGTGAAATAAATTGCCCAATTGCTGATGGTTTCCCTTTGAAATAATTAAAACTCATTGATTTTAACCGAAGACTCTTTAATGTTCCTTTTTGACTAATTATAGCCCACGGTAATGAATCACAATCTAGGTGATGAGAAGCATTAATTGATAGATTTTCTAACCGTTTTTGAACGCTAATAAGTTTTGCTGAGAATTGGACTTGATAATATGAATTTAATTTCAAATTTATATTTAAAATATTATTACAAATTAATGCTAATGATTCAAATAATGGACTAACCGGTTCATCATTTAACGTCACCGAAGCAAACGTTTCTAATTTCTCAAATGCTTTCTGGGCACAAGGTAACTTAAGAATTGAACCGAATAAATCATAATAATTATCAAAATTTCTAGAAAGATTTATCGGAACGCTCGCCAATTTAAAATAATTCAGAAATGAGCAGCGATTTATTATTAATTTACATATCTCACGAAATAATTTACTTGATTCGTTCTTATTATTAATATCGTTATAATTGTCTTGATCTGAATCAATAATTTTTTGTGAAATAATTTGTGGTGAATATATGGAAATAAAATAAAGTAAATTACTAATTATTAATTTACGAGTGAATGATGGATAATCAAAAGTGACTTGAGGTGGTGACGATGATAAATCGAATCCAAATTGAGTAAGAAATGTTCTAGCTTGAATATCCATACATGATAAATAAGTTCGAATACATAATGCTTTCTTCCTCAACGTCTCATCAGATTTACTCCATTCTTGACCCAAAGGTAATTCCCAAAGAATAGGTATAGCAACCTTGCACCAATTTCGATTAACTAATGATGACGAGTGTAAATCTTGTGATCGAACATTATTTAAAATCATAATCAATAATTCTGTGGAAATTTTATTTGCCATTTTTTTTTGTCAAAGAGATTTAAATTTTAAGAAAAAAATAGTGCCAAACTTTATGCAGTGATGGTGTAACAACTCA